GGCGCTAAAAGTAATGCATTGGATTCTAACTACGCCGATCAAATGTTTTCATGTTCTTACGTGGTCACATATGTTTTCGGATAATACACTGGCTTCAATATAAACTAAAAGCTTTAATCGTTAAAAAATGTACATGATGGATCCTCCTCACATTGTTCTGCCGAAGCGCACGCCACGCCGCCGATACTTTTCCGCACTGATCTCCGATCGAGCCGCAGACGTCCGATCACGGGACAAATGGACCGCGTTAAACAGAGAGGAACCGAGCCACATCAGCTATCGCAAAATTTAATCGGTCAATTTAATTTTTTACATGAAAACGGTTGTGCGGATTTTTGTGCAAATTTCAGTGAATTTTCTCCATGATACAAAGCCAATTCCTTAAAATTTTCAGAGGAATCTGCACAGACGTTCTCTCGTAAAAACTGTAATTTCCCTGTTAAAGAACCCCGCACAGAGCATGGGCTCAGCGGCTCTCTATGAAAGTCGATGAAACTTTAATATATTGTTATAAAGTTCGTAATTAAGGGAAAACCAAAAAAATAGCTCATTTTTGCGAGTAGAGGCCGAGATATTCGCAATTGAATCCGGACTATTTTCTATCATGCCGCAGCATGACGGAGGAATTCCGAGTTCCCTTTCCTCTCGTTGTTCGGCGTTCTCGATCAGACCTCACGTCACTCACGTGTAGATAGGTGCTTGGCCGATGCGAATGCCGTACTGTCTCCCTCTCCCCGCATCTGTCACTTCTGTCTCAGCAACTATATTTCAGATTAAACCGGCCGACGGCGCCGGCAAGGGAGAGGTGCAAGAAGCAGGGAACTCCATATCGCACAGCCTGAACGGAGCGTCCTAAGGAAAGGAGTGAGTGCAAACAATGCGACATCGTAGTTACCTGGTGGGAAGAGGGGGTTTCCTGGCCGAAGTGCTCAAGCAAGGTAAGGCGACATGGAGAATTTACCTCTGCCGCACAGAAAATAGTCCGGGTTCAATCGCGAATATCTCGGCTTTTACTCGCAAAAGTGAGCTAATTTTTGGGCTTTTCCTTAATTATGAACTTTATATCAATCTATTAAAGTTTCATCGACTTTCATAGAGAGCCGCTGAGCCCATGCTCTGTGCGGGGTTCTTTGGGAATAGCTGATGCGGCTTGGTTCCTTTCTGTATAACGCGGTCCAAATATTGCCAGGGACTAAAATAATACTATGTACAATTAATTTGGCACTTTAGTTTTGGATTATGCTCGCTGATTGGAGTTTACAGGAGAAACCGAGCGAGAAGTGTGAGCGAGAGGAGAGCCAACGGGGAAGAGCAGTAGGCTGAGCTGAGATTCTCGTCGCCCCTCTGGTCCTCCGGTTTCCTCACCCGGTTGTTCCGGGTCTTGTCGTCCGTCTGCACCGGGCCGTAGTCCCAAATGTTGTTGCTCTCCACGTCCTTCTCGCTCCCGACGTCTGGGCTGTCCAGGCCGTCCTCCAGGGAGACCGTGTTGCTCCGGATCGTCGGCCCTGAAATTTCTGAAAATTCAATCTTCTTACAAATTGTTTCCAACGAGAACATCACGTTATGACCCAAAATATCAGCTTAAGAATGGACCACTATGCGAGAGTACAAAATTTAGAGCCACAATGCAACACATCAGCTGGAACAATAAGAGGAATGGACCACTAGATAAGGTAGGAATTTCAGCATTCTGATACATGTTTCTTAAACAAAATTTTACCTAAAACACGATGCGCACAACGAAAATTACCGAAATTAACTCCTTACGAAGATATTTAATTATTCTTGATGCGTGAATTCAAACCACCCGCTCATGAGAACTCAATGCTCTACGTGATTCACATCGCGCGCTAAACGTTATCATGACAGTCTCAGCGATATAAAAATCTGGCAACCTCAATCTTGACGCTTTGGCTCAGCTATAGCAAATTGCTAATAGTTTGAACAAAACATGGTGGGAAAAGAACATTGCTCGATTGAGAAGCTTGCTGAAACCGTTGTAGAGGGCGATTTGACTCATGTAGAGCTTTGAGTTTCTTGTCAGCGGGTAGTTCAAATTTCTCGTAACCAATGTGAAATAAAAACGTTAATATCTTCGTTAGGAATTGGTTTCAGTAATTTTCGTTGTTAGAATTGTTTTCTACGTGAAATTCTGGTTAAGAAACATGTATCAGATCGCTTAAATTCGTACCTTGTCTAGTGGTCCATTGCTCCTAATATAGAACTGTGCCGAAACTCAGCTTGTGCTTAGCGCATCAAGGAAGTCTGAAATACACTCCACGCTACACAATCTGCTTAAGAAATATCGAGGGTGTAAGTCAGCAATCACATAACTCAGTTTGCGACGTCGCAGACTTCCTGTCATACTTTATTTTTTAAACGGAAAACTACTCAACGGCAATTCTTTAAAACTGTCACGATTTTTCTTCTCTGAACGAAGAAAATTCTGCAAAAACCTCAAGAAATGATGTCAATTTGTTCTCCTTTAAAAAAAATAACACAGAGGCGGAGATTTTCAGACACCGCAAACGAGTTATGTGATTGCTGACTTACACCAACGATATGGGTTTTTTTCAGCTTCCCCCCTTCGAAAGACGATACTACGACACGGGTGAATATTTCGTAAGAGGAGTCGTTTCATCCATCCCTTGCCCACTAGAATGTTAAAAAAATGATCAGCATGGCTGACGCTTCCACGCGTAAATCGTGAGGAACCATCATGGTCTTAATTAAAGCAAGGAACATGAAAATACAGGGTGTCCCAGACCACCCGTACCAGGCCTTTTACTCGGTTGGATTAGGTCGTGCAAAGTCAGGGACCGAGGGGTTGAATTGGGAATCGACCCCAAGAAATCCAAATTTCAAGGTCCCAAACCCCCCCCCAGCCTCCCTTGAGGGGTACCGATGGGGGGGGATCTTGATGGGGTACCTTGTGGGGTCGCTTACCGGGGAAAACATCTTTTTCCGGAGAATCTACGTCAATTTTGCGACCAGAAGGAATTTATGAAGGGGGCCACTGTCCCCCTCTGTGTCATTTTAAGGTCCAAGAAGGACCGGGTTTGGTGTAGATTCCGAGTGAAATTTTCTGTAATTTTCAATGTTGATGGAATTGAATCGCAATTCTGCCGAGAACTCCGACTTTTAAGATCGTGACCCCCCCCCCCCCCCCCCCCCCCCCCCCCCCCCCCCCCCNGGGGGGGGGGGTATCATTACTATACTGTGTCAAACTATTTTTAATGCGAATCCGCCACACTTACAGCTTGCGTCGCTTGTTGTCAATAGCTGACAACTCAATAATATTTGCAACATTTATCGATCAGAGACACGGAAAAAACATAAGATTCACTTAGGTAACAAATGACGCAGCGAAATGAGAATTCTACGACCGTTTCAAATGCGGTACAATCCCGATAACAAGCAAATACTCAACATGAAAATATAGGTAAAAGCTACGACATAGCTGCAACTTTCGTAAGGTCATAAAAAAAACCTCTTTTCGAAGCTTTCCACGGCGGCTAACAAGGTGTTTATGGTAACTACGTAAAAAGACTACAATATAAGTTCAATATCATTTGAGGATAGGATAGAGCTGTGATACTCTTCAGCAGCACGGATTTTCACCGGTTCAATTATTTTGTTTCTTACGTGGAATATTCTAATGGTAAGCGATTAAAACTATACTTTCATTAAAGACAATCTGATCGAAATCCGCTTTATAAGGGTGCACAATACGTTTCTGAAAAACAAGCGGAGGCAGTCAGAGGAATCTGATTTTTCCCACTTCACATAGTAAAGGGCAATGGGTCGTACCTGCAACCGAATTATGGATATGAGTTCCTTTTTTTATTTCTTGCGCGTTGGTCTGATTTCCCTAAGTACGCAAACCATTCAGGTTTTGGCGCTATCTCCAGAGAGCGCTAGGTATCCTTTAAATTTAATAGCTTTTAACGCATGTCGAAGCATAGTCGACGAATCGAAACAAGAATTATTTTACATTTACGAGGACGGATTGCATTCCGAACCTTCTTTCGAGCACTTTAATCAACGCTTGCATGAAGCTTCCATTAAAACCATTTTGATATCCCACCACACTCAACTGACAAATGCTGTCAATACCGATCATGGCAAAAATATCATATTCATTCTCAACGATGAGAGAGAGCTGATAAGCTTAATTTTTTACACAGTCGCACAACCAAGACTCTTAGAAAAGGACGGCGAAAACACGAAAAGTCTTAAATATGATAAAATGAGAACAGAACATCAGTCGAAGGGTATTTTACCTCTGTACTGTGTGACAGTAGATGGACGCTCTTTTTGGACGGTAGGGGAAAAAACATGCAGTAAAGAGTTGAGACTATCATCAGCTGAGTTGGAGCCGAATTCGATTCTAAGCGATCGAGTGTTTAATGCAACTCGAGGTTTGTACATCAACAAAATTTGGAATTCCAGGAATTATCTAGTTTTCATCTTAAAAAATTTCGATCCGATTCACAAACACCCGGCAGAAACAGCACTAATAAAAACAGGATATGGAATGGAAAAGTACACTGTGGAAATAGATCCGGTTGCTAGGCTGGTGTTCTGTTTCAAATTTTTTTGGCGCTTTTTTAAAGGACGAAAATCAATCATTTGCCACTCGCAAGGTTGTGAAAAATATGATCCCTTCGTGGAAAAACTCATCTCAACTGAAGGTGAGACCAATCAATGTTTTTTCGACTTTTCTTGGAGCGATATGCACAGAAAATCAATAAGCAAAATGTTATTTACGGGAGAAAGTCATGATAGCAAGGTTAGTCCGTCTTCATCCGCAATCAATGGGATTAAAGCGGACGCGGAGGTGTTGGGTGACTTCGAACGTGCTGTAAATTGCACACTGACGTACCCAACGTTTACGGATTACATGGCAGACCAGTTCAGGAGTTACGGTACTGAAGCAGGCTTGAGATTCGACATAGACTTACAGCCGTTTGAGTACGGACTAAGTTTGGAAAGAACTAATTACTCCAAATATGATTATTCGGTCAGCATTGATACGAGATCTCTATGCTTTGCTACTCCACATAGTGGATACATGTCACAAGGTCTGGTGATTTTCAAAAGCTTTTCGCCACTCGTATGGACACTCATTGTCCTAACGATTGCTAGTTTCTGGATCATTCTGGGCACTTTCCATTACTTACAATGCAAAGTTTTTTACTTCTTCTACTCAGACGCAGAAGTTGAACTTTACAGAAACTCATCTTCTCTGTTAACTGTTTACGCTTACTTTATGTGTGGTAGTCCAGCAAACCTACGCCTGGGGCATCTTTTGACTGGAAAAGCCCTCTTCGTAATCTTCAGTTTTTCGGCATTCATCATGACAAATGCTTTTTTGGGTTGCATGACAACGCTTCTCAGCAAGAGAGTTCTGTATCCGGAATTGGATTCACTGAAAGCCTTGGAAGAATCAGAACTGCTCATTCAAATATTGTATGATGATGCTTCAACGGATAAGGACATGTTCTCTCTACAAAACCATTCGGAAGTGCTACGTGCCAAATTGGTGACTAGTTTATTCGAATACTCTATGGCGGTATCGGGGGAACTCTTTCTAAGTCATTTAATTTTCTCCAAGGATAATGAGTCTTCCGCAGATTTTAATGTTACTAAGAATCACTTTGTAGAGGAGGTTAAGAGGAATACTCTGTCTATGGCTGCGATGGATGCTGTGATGGTCAGTGTACCATTCTCTTACAACCGCAAAGAAAATGTCCGTATAAATAATGTATTTCCCGTTGATCTTGAATATCATCTAATGCAAGAGTGCCTGATCACGTATCCGGTAATGATTTCATTCCTGAAAAATTCTTTTTTCTATGATAAATTGAATCGAATAATTTATCAAAATCTAGAAACTGGACATATGAGAAGAATGATAGAAAGATATGATCCCCACATAATACATTTTTCATCTGAGGGTACAGATGCAGAGGGCGGTGAGCCAAAGGCATATGATCTGAACGATTTGCAGTCTGCTTTTATAGGGCTCATCCTTGGTTTATTTGCGAGTTTTCTCACCTTTATAGGAGAAATTATCACTGATTTGTATCCAAACGCTGTCATTCTGAAATATTTGAAAACTTTAAAAGTTCTCTAGTCCCGCAAAGTGAGAATGGACAATGTGTGATAATCAAAGTTATTGTCATGTATATAAATGATAAAAAAGCGGCTTTACTTCTGTAATTATTCAAACGAGAAAAAAACTCAGAAATGACTCGAAATGTACGAACCAAAATAAGGAAATGGTGCTGGGTTCATACCGTTTCGCGCGGAAGACAAAGCCAAGAAATTCCAAACATTTTTCAATAAGAGTCGAGGATTTTTTTTCTCTAAGAGTACCAGCACAAGACTGAGGAAGGGGGCTGGGAGTCAGACTATAATTATTCCAGGTCCGCTTGGAATGACTCACTTCGGAATAAGTCAGTTGCTGGTCACATAATCGTGTTTTTATGCTTGATTCTCGTAGATTAGC